CCGTCAGCTGACGGGGCAGGTGGTCCCGGAGGCGCGCGTACCCCTCGTTCACGCAGCGCCCCCGCTGCCGCTCGCGCTCGTTGCGCTTGCGGAGGAAGCCGGGCTCCAAGGCGCCATCCAGCGGCAGGGGCAGGTACGGCCCTCTCCGTGCGCCGCCCGCGCGCGCCCGCTCCCAGCACGCGGCGTCCATGCGCAGGGAGACCCTGAAGGGGTCGGTCGGAGGGAGTCGGGGCAGAGACCCAGGCGTGCCCAGGGGCACGGTGCGCAGGGGGTGCGGCAAGGCCAGCAGTCCGGACTCTTTATGTTTCTCCATCATCCGCCGGAAGGCAATCAAATCATCCAAGAGATTAACCTCTCAACAGAAAATGAGGTTTAAAATCCTCGAAGCGGAGATGCTGTTCCATCCAGACTGCCTGGCACAGCAGGTCTCTCTTGGGAGATGTTTCTGGGCGCGGAGCGAGGTTCCAGGACAGGCTTCAGGGAATGGGCATGATTCCCAAAGTTCATGGCACTCATCGATCTTTTTATAAAAATTCAGACGGAGGTGGTGGGGAAAACGTAGGACCACCTAAGCCACGCTTTAAACCCCGTCTTCCCCTCTGATCTTCTTATTTCAAAGGGTAACAAAGGGGGTTCCTCGGCTCGGTCCCTCAGCCTGGAAATGTGAGCGCACGCCAAACACGGCGTGATCTTCCAAAGCCACCGAAGCTTTTTAGTTCCTGTGATCCACCGCTCTGGGTCTGCAGGAGCGGAGTCGTTCGCAAAGAGCCTAGGAATCCTCGGGGTTTGAGAAGAGCTCCTCCCAGGAACCTACAGATCTCCCCGCGGCGGAGCGAAAGTTGCCCAGAGGCTTTCTCCTTGAAAATCAAAACTCGGCTGCCCTTTGTGGTTTCCGGCGTCCAGGTCTAATGGAAGAAGCTTTTAGTGTGTTTGCAGACTTACACTCGCCTGCAGTGTAGTGGAGGGAAGACCTCATCAAAGGGGTTATACCATGTGTCAAGTCAAGGAGGACCCCGGGGGAGGCTGGAGGTTTTCTCCAAAAACGGATCTATTAAAAACTCAATTAGAGGTTTTTCGAAGAGAACAGGAAAAAAAGTACTTTAGTAAAGAATATAAGGGTCCGCATATTATGTTCCAATTTATGTTTAACGTAGGGTGCCTTATGTACTATATGCTACTTTTTAAGAGCACATCAAAAGACTGAAAAGTGACAAAATACTTTCAGCCAGTTATTTCTCACAGTGCTTACTGTAAACACAGCTTAAATGCTGCTTCCCAACCTCTTCTAATCCCACCCAGGATATAAGGACAGCATCTTTCCGTAGAGCAAATAGTATTTTTCCATTGTATTCTTCTTCTTCTTCTTCTTCTTTTTTTTTTTTAATGCAATTTATTTTCTCCCTTGGGGGCAGGAAAGCAACATTTGAAAGGTGGAGAGCCGCAATTCCAAGGAGAAAGGATGGTGGCTTTGAAGACTTGTCTTTTTAAAACACAACCAAAAAAATGAATAATTAACCCATCCGAGTTGGTAAAGGGCTTTGAAGATGAAAGTGTCATTAAAAATCCAACTGTACTGGTTGATGTCAAAGAATGTGTTATCACACTGAAAATCAGATTTCTTGTTCTGCAAACCAGCACATTAAAGGCATCTTCTACTTTAAAAGTCCAACTTAAAAACAAGAAGTAAAAACCCCCTACATTTACGATCAGACCTTCTGCCGATTCCTCGGGAGCCAAGGTGTCGCCCTAACATGTTTTTTGACAAGTCCTGTGATTCCCTGTTTACTCTAAAAGATCTGCCTGAAGCAACTGGAACAACACTTCTATCACGGCAAATAAAATTGAAATAATTATTCCTTTCAGGCATAAGTTAGTCACATTTTAAAAATGTAGCTCCCTATGAGACCTGTACTTGCAAACAACCTAGTATGTCATCATGATTTCTCAGTAGAATTGAGAAAGCCCCTCCTATTATTAATAAGGAGAAAAGCCCACCAGAGAGGTAGGTAGGCTATTAGACCATAAGGTTCTTTGGGGCCATGTCAAAGATTTTGACCTCTATTCTGAAAGTGAAAGAAGATAATGAGGTATTTTAAGCAGGGAGATGACAGAGTAAAATTTATGTTTTAAAAAGATCACTCCACCAAGGTCAAGGATTTGGATCCCCTACCAGCCAGCTGCAAAAAAAAAAAAAAAAAAATCTGTAGAGTGGTGAACAGATTGACAGATTGGAGGGGAGCAAAAGGGAGAACAATTGAGATACCATTTTTCATCCTCAGATTGGCAAAAATTAAAAAGATTGCTGGATAAGTGCACCGCTTGGGAAGCGCGGCGGTGCTCCCGCCCGAGGGTTCGGATCCCACATGCAGACCGGTTCCCGCTCACTGGCTGAGCGAGGC